GCAGTGGTGACAATCCTAACTTCCTTGTAACAGGCTGGTGAAAGGAGCAAATGTAATAGATGCCAATGGACTTGGTGACTGAACATGAGTACTCTGTGGAAGGTACTGGTAATTAAAATTCAGTAAAAGTTAGCAGCTGCTTCGTTTAGGGCATTTTTCGTGATGATAAGTTGTTTGTTTGCTTGTTTGTTCTAGATTTGTTCCTTATATTGGAATTGTGACAATCCTCATGAATGACTATCCTAAATTTAAGGTGAGAGCGCCTACGGTATGTTTGATTGAAAGGGAAGTGCTCTTGGGTTGAGGGTATAGATCAGCAGCACACATGCTTGGCATGTGTGAGGCCCTGGATTCAGTCCACCTCCCCCACCGTGTCTTGTGTTTAATTTTGGAAACTGTTAAATGGATTACAGTTAAAGCGTGAAGGAATAATTAGACAGTTTAGTCATTGATTCTGGTCACAAAAGAGTTAATTAAGAACTGTTGGAAGTGCTCCTGACGTGTGTCCCTGTTTCCTTTTCTAGTATGCAGTACTGTTTCTGCTGGGTTTATTTGTGCTGGTCCATCGTGAGTAAGAAGTCGGCTGCGCTGCTCCTGGAAGATGCTGTGCTTTTTGTTACTGGATGTTTGGAGTAGATCCTGGTCTGTGATTGGCGGATATTCGGAGGACACACATGTTGGCGCTTCTTGGTAGCACTGGTTTGCATTAGTTTTGTTTCCACACCGAGGATGTGTGGGCGGGTGCGTGTGCACATGGCGTGCACTCACGGGGACTTTCAGTCACAGATTTCATATGCTGTCATTGTCACTCACATTTTTGTACATCGGTGAATTTTTTATATTAAAAGGTTGAGCCAAAGCCCCCAGTGTTTGTATTTTGAAGCCAAGCTTCATTTTTAAAGTGCCTACAGAGTTCTGTAAATGAAAACACAGCTCTGCATGAGTTCACACCTGTCATCCTTCCTTACAGTGGGATGGCACATATTGAGGTGGTCATTAAGTCTTAACTTTTCAAAATTTTAAATAAAAGACTTTGCACATTGAACCCCTTTCCCGGAATTGTGTTTGTTGGGAAAGCTCCTGAAATGTGCCTTTCTTGGCCGATTACTAGTGCCCATTATGGGTTTATACAATAAGGCTTGGATGTGGCTGGGCATGAAAATACATGCTTGTTATCCCAGAACCTGGAATATCTCAGCACCAGAAACAGGATCAGTTCTAGGTCATCCTCAATTACGTTGTGAGTTCAAGGTCAGCCCGGGCTATATGAGATCTCAAGAAACTAGAAAAGAGAAAAAGCTTTAGTATGAACCATCCTTCAGCTATGAAGGTTGACCAAATACTAACAAATGGGTTGTTGTTTAGGCTTGTTTTTGTTTCTGAAGCCAAAGCAGCCATTGATATTCATAGGAAATCTTTTCCTCACACAGTTGATTCTTCACTAGGGTGACTCAGATGTGTACAGTCCCAGGTGGTGTTACTGAGAGGTTCCGAAAAATCTCACCTGGCTGTGGAAACACCTGACCCTTTGTCCGCTGGAGGCCTCTTTGCCTTCTCCACACTGTATTAGCATTTGGATGAGGCAGGGCAAGGTAGCAGAGGCCCACAGTTTCCTCTTCTTTAATTTGTCTAAACCCATTCTTGGAAATGGCTGGCTCTGCATTTTCTCTAATCAGACTTAAGGAGACAGAGTTTGAAGTAGTGACTAAAAGCCCAACTGTGTTTTCTTTTAATTTTGAAGCCACCAGAGAAATGGAATGTAGGGTAAACCAATATGCAGTAACACAAAATACTTCTAACTTTGTCATTCTTGTTTAATGTGAAATCTCAAAAGTAAGCAGGATTTCTACTGGGCACGTGGTCAGGTTCTGTTTACTCAGCTGAGGTGACAGCCTGTGCTGTTGCTGATGGAGTAGACAAGCTTCCAGAGCCTTCCCTGTGGAGAATGCTTCCATCTGAAACCCATTAACTAGGCTTACCCTTCAAACTTTGCATATGAATACTTAATGGTAACAGATGGCTTCTTCAGCCTGTGGGGCTTCTTAGTTCCTCTCGATCCCAGAGGGTGCTCCAACTGCCTCTCCAGCAAGGCAGGCTATTATTACTTCATTTCTTCCTCCCTAGTCGTCCGTGGGAGACAGGGTTAAAAATCTTCCTGCTCGGTGCCCTGGCTTTCTTCCTTTGCTGGATACTCCTATTAACAAAGGCTGGGGCTGGAGAGAGAGCTGCTCTAGAGAGCACTGGCTGCTCTTCCAGAGGCCCTAGTTCCAATTCCCAGCAACCACATGGTGGCCCACAACCGTCTGTAGTAAGATCTGGTACCCTCTTCTGGCGTGCAGATGTACCTGCAGATAGAGCACTCATGTACATGAAATAATTAAATAAATCTTAAAAGAAAAAACAAAAACCAGAAAAACAACAACAGAAACCCAAAGTAAATTTCTCTTTAAAAGTAGCCAGAGCATTTAAAAACATTTGAATCACTCTGTTAGCCAATTTTTATATTGTTGAAAGATAAAACATAAGACTTAGAACTAAGATTTAGGGAGCTGGAGAGATGACTCAGCAGTTAGGAGCACTCTTACAGAGGACCTGGTTCTGTTCTCTGCAACCACATGGCTGATCACAACCTCCTGTATCTCTGGTTCCAGTGGAATCTGGTGCCCTCTGCTGGCCCCTGTGGGCACTGCAGGCATATGGTATTCATGCATACATTCAGGCAAAACACATAAAAAAACAAAGGTTGGAAAGATGGGTCTGTCATTGGGTTAAGAGCACACACTGCTCCTCGGCAGGATGTGAGTTCAGTTCCCAGCACCCACACGGGGCAGCTCACAACCAGCTGTAACTCCAGTTCCAGGGCATCCAGCGCCACCTTCTGTCTTCCATAAGCGTACACACACGTACAAATAAAAATATATCTTTCAAAAATAATAAATCTTTTTTAACATAAAAACAGGTTATAATTCAAGAGTCTAGGGTTATTTGAAGCTGGAAAATATTTTCTCTGCAGAAAATAGTAAAAATGATAACATTTCCCAACAAGCCCTTTTAAACCAAATGATAGCTGAATTATACATATAAATATTGATTAGATTCTGGGATACAGAAGAGACCTATCTTCATCTATTCAGAGAGCTATGTTTTACTTAAGTTGTGTGAGATTCCTATTCATCTTCCCCTTCACTGTTTGGTTTATGGCAGACATTTTTCTATAGGCTAATCCATAATCTAAAAAGATTTTAGCCTCCCCTCCTGGAAGTACAGCCGGCATTTTCTTTCATCAGCTTGATACGGTACAGATTCTTATCCTAATGGTGAAATGTTTAACTAAAGCTTGCCCAGTGATTGGACAAAACTAAAACTTATTATAAGCCACAGTCATCCTAGGGTCACCCCTGCTAGGTAGCCTCCCTGGATCTGTGGGTTGCAGTCTGTCCTCAAAAATGATAAATCTTTAAAACTAAAAAAATATAAATATATTTTGAGCTCTTTGTAAATATAAGAAATTAAAATAAGTCCTAAAAAGGGGGATTGGAGACAGTCTGCTTATTAGGGTAATGAGCACTTGCTGCTTTTGTAGAGGACCTGGGTTTTTAGCACCCACCCAGCACCCACAACTGCCTGTACCGCCAGGGACCCCACACCTTCTGGTCTCCTTGAGCACCTGCACTCATGTGCACACACACAAGTAAAGATAAAATAAGTCTTTAAAAAAAAAAGGAAAATGTAAGAAATGAGCCAGGCATGTCAGTACACACCTGTAGTCCAAACCGCACGGGGGCTGAGGCAGGAGGACCATTTGAGACCATGGATTTGAGACTACCTGGGCGTCATAGTGAGACTCAACTCATCAAAACAAAAACCCAAGAAAAATGTAAGAAATGCCAGAGAAACTTAACTAGTGGTTGAGCAGAACTTCCCAGTTCTTTGGTGTTTGGCAGGATTAAGGGGAAGTGTGGAGGACTCGGCCTCTGGAAGGAACTGGAAAAGGGGTGAGAACCAATAAAACTTTAAGTTGGAATTTCTTACTAGGGATCTCTTGGCTCTCACAACTCCAGCTAACAAGTCTTGTGTCATTTCCTCAGCTCCAGTCCTACAACTCTGACTTGACCATTCCATCTTTGAACTCAAGCTCCTTGGGGAGTCTGGCAAGCTTCTCCGCCAAGCCAGTTCTCGCATGTTCAGGGGGGAGCTAGCTCTATTATCTCCCTGTGCATCTCGTTGCTAAATGTATCTCCCTGTAGCGATCCATCTGCATTGGCATTTACTGCTTCGTGTTGCTTGAGTACCAGCCCTAGTGTCCATGCCTGCTCCTGTCCTCTGTCTTGTGTTCCCCTGTCCCACGGATCCGGTCTCTGGGCACAGTAGATGATTCCTTTGGGTATCCCTTGGATGAACCATACATTTGTTTTCACCCTACCTCTCCCCTGCATGTGAGGCTCAGGGTTTGAGTGCAGCTGACACCGAGTGAGCGTTCCCGTGCCATCCTCCCTGGTGTTCTCACTGTATTGCCTCATTCTCTCAGCTCTGCATGACTGAGGTTCACATCCTTCAACATAATCGCTCTTCCGCTGCCCATCTTCAGCAGCTTTGCGGTGCTTTGGATTTGGGGTATGGCCTCAAGATTCCTGGCGGCTTGTGAGCTCCTCTGGGCAGGAGCCTCATTTTGTAGACACTGCACTCTGCTGCCCAGTAGCACGCAGCAGAGTGTATTAAATGTTGGCATAATCCTGCACTGGGAGCAGGCATAGTAGCTTAGATCAGTGCTGTTGTCGAGCCGAGCAAGCGTATGAATCATTAAAGTGATTTGTACTTTCCTGTTATTTAGTAAGTACATTCTCTCTTGGCCTTGCCAAATTTGAATCTGAAAACTTCCTCTCGCCATGGCTCCATTTAAGCAGCATGTACCCTTTCCAGGTTTTTTTTTTTTTTTTTTTTAATGTTAATTCTGCTTTCTTGTTTCTGTATTCCTGTAGACTCTGCCTGTGTCCTCTTTATTGGTGGGACTGCTGGCATTTGTCACTTTACCTAGGGAGTCATAGGCTTCTGAGAGAGCCTTGGCTTTCTTGGTTGCTTGTGTGCTTGCTGGGGAGTCACACAGAGGACCTCTAGCATAGTGCTTGGGTGTTTATTTGCTTTAGTGTTTTATCAAGCCCAACTAGTCACTCATAACATGGGGTGGGGGGCACTATTCCATCATCTGTGGTCACCCTTCTCATGACAGGGTTAACATTGTTGAGCTTGACATGATCCAGCTAACTGTAGCTACTTACACGGAGTCTCTCCCTTCTTCATGGTGCTTTGGGTCAGGAAGGCTGGTCCAAGCTGTTTTCTGTCCACCTGTGCCTTCATCACTCTTCCTCATCACGGTGGCTAGGACTGTGAACACCACCAACGGCTGTGAGAAGTCCAACAGCAGAGCCGACGCTTTCCACACAGAGCGTATCTGGATATAGACAGAATGCTGTTTAATCAAGGAATGTTGTTGGGTTGAAATGAGCAGGGCTTCCCACAAACTGTGAAGATATTCCTTCCAAGACTCTTCCAGTCTCAGCTCTCCCCAGACGCCACAGTCTGCATCCACATGGGACTTGCCAGGTGGACATGCCACCTTTGCTATGCTGGTTGCTGTGTGGGGTACAGCTAAGACTTTTCCCATTCACTCAGCAGATGTTCAGATTTTCAGCTGGATCCTGGCTACAGAAGGAAGGAAGTAAGGCCTCTGCTGCCCTTTCAGAGTTCATCTTAGTGGGCGGGGCATGCACTGACACACTTCCCACATAGGATCCCACTGTGACCACAGAGGTGCTGGGGCGTTCTCTGTGGGGTCCTGCTTCCTGCTTCAGACTGCCCAGTGCCTTGTCCATCTTCCTCTCTAACACTCTCGCAGGGCAGCTGGCTTTCTCTGTGTTCCTCTCCCGACTAGAGTGCTATTGTTGGTTGTTTTTGCTCTTTTGGGGGGGGGCCGCCACCCAGCTCCCAAATAAATCACACCCAGAGGCTTTTTCTTACTTCTCAGTGTCCAATCTTAGCTTGGCTTGTTTCTTGCCAGCTTTCCTTCACTTTAATCCGTCTACGTTTGCCTCTGGGCTGTTCCTTTTCTCTGCAGGTGTTTTAGACAGGCAAAGTAGCACAGAGTTAAACAAATCAACATCAACAAAAGTGACACACCTTAAAATAACATTTCCCAACAGAGTGTGTGTTGACTCCTTTAGGCATTGAGACAGCCCGGTTTTGGAGTAAATCTTTGAGTACCCCCTAGTGCCTGTTACACTATTGTGCTTGTTTTTAAATTGATCTATATATCTTGTTCTGTACAGATAAATCTAGTACTACGTTATAAAACAGTAATCAAAGAAGTTAGAGTTGAAGTAATTGTTGGAGAAGAAACAGGTAAAACCAGGTGCAAAATCATTTGCCTTTTGTAAAACCTAAGGTAGCAAAAGATTTCTGTTGTCTGCTGGAAGAACTCCAGATCTTTTGACGCTTGGTTTCATGGTCTTCAGCACAAAGAAGGAAACTGCCATTGCTGTTCTTTGTGGATTGGACAGAAAATGGAATAAAAAGGAAGTTTACAGTAGTTCCCAAGGACTGAGAACACCCGGATCACCCTGTTTCTCAGTATAGTTAGTTTGGCAACCTCTACAGAAAGCCGCTTCCTGAGTGGGTGCAACAGCCTAACCTGTGGTCCTAGCACAGGGGAGGTGGAGGCAGGTATGTCAGGAATCGAAGCCAGCCTTAGCTACAATAGTGACTTCAAGGCCAACTTGAGCTACATGATACCCAGTCTCAAAACACGAACCAGAAAAGCCACCTCATCTCATCCGTCAGGAATTTCAACTTTCCCTGTGATGGTCTCCTGTAAACTTCTAAACCCCACGGCCTCTTTAGGAACTAGAAATCCATTGTCGTTATTCTGACCCCCACCCCCCCAGGCTCTTCCTCTCATCAGCCAAGAATACTTTACCTTTCTACCTTAGTTTTTCTTAAGCTTGCTTTATAAAAACAATGCCCTTTTCTTGTATGTAGTTAAAGCTTGCTACCGAATCTGACTTTCAAACCGTATATCCTGTCTCAGCGTTTCCAGCATGCTTCTACCCACTCTCAATTAAGAATCACTTCTCTAGAACCATCACTTTAATTTCCCATCTATTTGGATTGGTAAATCAGGCTCTAGCTTTAATTCAAAGACTCTAGTTAGACAAATTTGTATTCAGAACTTAACGTCAGACAAGTAAATTAGCTGGCATCAAGCTTTGATCAAAGCTCTCAGCCTGACAACTTACTTAAGCCAAGAACAGAATGCTGTAGAATTCTTTTCTCAGAACTGGTTAAGAATTGAGGTAGAGCCAAGTGTGATGGCGCACGCCTTTAATCCCAGCACTTGGGGGGCAGAGGCAGGCGGATCTCTTTAAAAAAAAAAAAAGAATTGATGTAGGTGCATTGGCATTTTGGTTTAGGAACCAAGGTGTCACAGGCATGTTGGCAGGGCCATGCTCTATTGTGTGCACACCCTGATCTCTGCTAATGAGTGAACATTTCCTGGTAATGGACTTCAGGCTTTGCTTTTCCTAAGAGCACACCCGGTGCTCCGCTAAGAATGCTTTACAGTTTATAACAACTTTGATTCTTTCCTATTTAATGAGCGCTGTGCATGAGGTCCCTCCACTCCTGCATCTTCTCAGTCGTTTCTTCCTTGTATTTGCCCTCCTCCTTTCCTACTGGGAGGGCCTGGGCTTCCCTTCCAGGATCTTTTTGCGGTCTGTCCAGCTTTAGCCTGGTGATAACCACCTTGCTGGGGTGGATGCCCGTGTGGAGAGGTGTGCCATTAACCTTTTCTCGCCGACCTCTTCAGGGTAGGTGACACATGGCTTCCTCTACACCTGGACCACCTTGCCAGTCTGCTGCCTCTGCAGTGCCCTCCGACAAGCGGAACGTCATCACCTTTTCAGATGTGCAGAGATCAAAGGGGCACACACTTGGGGTTCGGCTCTCTTCCTAAAGTGAGAGGGTGTGCCAGCGTTTATCTGCTTTGGTCAGAACCCGCAAAGGGACTGAGCTTCGTTTTGGTGGCAGCTGCCCCGGCCATGACTGCAAAGGAAGAGCTATTGTTCCCTATTTAACAAGTCTCAGAATAACCTGTCTTACCGAGGAGAGACACCAGAGTTCGGGATTTGCACTGGGTCTTTGCAAGGTCTGTGCACAGCAGAGGTCTGCTGCTTTGACTGTGTTACTGCCCTGGCTGCCATACCCCGTCCTACCTTTGCGAGCTGAACGGGCTCTTGCAGCAAACCTCTTTGCAAAGCCCCTCCTCAGGTTTGCTCAGATGATCAAATCTCTTAGAAGTAGTGGGTTCTCTACCAGATTCCTACGTGTGATGGAGCACACAGCCCAGCACTGGAGAGATTGAAGCAAGAGGATTTTTGAGTTCAAGGCCAGCCTTCAGCTCTACAGTGAATCTGCGTCTCTAAGATCCAAAGCCTTTTTTAAAACCCTCTTTGGGGTTGAAAGTATTACTTTGGTTATGTAACTGTCCCCTTAAATGCATCAACACTCTATGCAGATAGTTAGGAACGCTGCTCAGCTGGGTAGTGGCTTCCCGGCTTTCTCTTCTAAGCCGTGAACCGAGGATGTGTTAGATGGAGCTGATCTTCGGTGTAAGTGAACTTGTGAGAACAGAACTCAAGGCCGCAGGGTCTCTCCTAGGAGAGCAGTGGGACCGGAGAGGTAGTGCCCACTAGCTCTGCTCCCTGAGAACTCAGACTGCAGTTGGTACTGAAATGATAGCATGGGAAAACAGGAGTGCATGTTAGGGGGACTGTGTCTGTTCTCACAGCTTTGGGAGCGCGAGGCAGTGCCCCAAAAGTGTCCTGACAGAACTGAAGGCTGACTCTGGGGAAATGTCTGGGCAACTAACTCAACCTCTGGGGTGATCTTTGCCAGTAACATAAGAGAGAAGCTTGTCAAGTAAGTTCCTTCAAGCGGTTAAGGAAAGTAGCACTCACTCAACACTTCCCCTTGGTTTCTACATCCATGGACCAAAGAGACAGTCTGGGAGTGTGATGGATGCGGAAGAGAAGGAGGGGATTGCAGAGGGATGATTATTACGGGAAGGTGGTAAGAGCTATATCTGCACACCATGGCTAAGCTGTGACAAGAGAGCAGAGAGGTGTAAATGTCAGGTTGGGGGTGAGAAGCAAGGAGAGTGAAAGGAAAAGCCAAGGCCAGAAATGGACTGTCATTGTCCCGTGTGCCACGCTCCATAACCTCAGCGTCACAGCCTCAGAAAGCATCCCTGGGACTGGGAGATGGTTCAGTAAAGTGCTTGCCTTGCAAGCATGAGGCCCTGAGTTCAGATTTCCAGCACCCACATAAAAATCCAGGGTTGTTGGCCAGCACCTAAAATCCCAGTGCTGGGGAGCTGGGACAGGAGGATTCCCAGGCTTGCTGACCAGCCAGTCCTAACTCAGTAAGCACCAGGTTCAGCAGGAGGCCCTGCCTCAAAAACTAGGGTGGGGGTGGGGAGATGACTTGGCAGCAAGCCCAACCTAAGTTCAGATTCCCAGACCCCATGTGAAAAACTATGTAGTATCACATACATGTAATCGGGGTTCCTGTGGCAAGATGGGAGAATAATCCAGAAGCTCATCGGTCTGCTAAACTGGATGACTTGGTGCAGCAGCAGAAACAAGAGAGTCCTGCCTCAAACAATTCAGGAAGAATTGACCCCTGAAAGTCGTCCTCTGGCCTCCACATGTGGGTGTTCGTGCACACACGCACGCACACAACACAAAGGTGGAGGACAGCTGAGGAAAATGTCCAGTGTGCTAACCTCTGACGTCCACAAGAACATCCAAGATCCCCTTCTGGGATGGTGGGCCATAGGCCTGCCAGGCCTTGCTCAGCTAGCTGTGTGGGACTTAGGACAGCGAGTCAAGTACAGTGGCTCACACCTGTAATCCCACGACTCGGGAAGCTGAGACAGGAGGATTGTTATAAATTCAACTCAGTCTGGTCTATAGAGTGAGTTCCAGGACAGCCAGGGCTACATAGCAAGATCTTGTCTCAAAAAAAAAAAAAGAGAGATCATCTGTCATGTCCCACAAAAGATCCAAGACTTCACGCCCCATTCCATCCATCATTCCTTGACCTAGTTTCCAATGAGGTGAAGTCTTGGTAGCAGGGAGTCGGTGCCCCCTCCTGACCCTCTCACAGTGCTCCAAATGTTGGTGTGCAGTGAACAGTTAAACAAAAATAAGGGGGTTGAAGCACGTATCTGCCCCTGCTCATTAAGTGATGCCAATGATGGCTGAAGGTATTTTCCAAGACCAGTTAAGACAGCTCCTCGCGAAGACAGAGTGCTGCTCCTTAACAAATCGTTGTGCTGGAAAATGTAAAACTATTAAAGGTATAGGCAGTGTGGTTATTTCCATTTTACAATAGAAGAAAGCATCACCTGGCCCAGCGCTCTGCACTGCTCTGACCCATGAGGCAGGTCTGCCTCCTGCCTCTATGATAGACCAGGCGCTCTATGGTACCACTCCTCACTCCCCTCTACCCATCGTTTTATCCCCATTCTGGGCACAGAACTTTTCCAGGATACCCAAGTGTGTGCTATTTGTGAGAGAGCAGAGAGGTGCAAGCAAGGGTCAGATGCCTTGAGACGGAGGAGGTGACAGAATTCCTTTATGTAGTTCTTCTGCTAGGTGACGCCAAACACCCACGCTGCCAGGAGCAGGACCTTTTGCTCCACTTTAGCCTCAAGGAGAAGCTTTAAGGGTTGATGTAACGACATGATGGCAGAAAGCTGGTGTTGGTGGCCAAGGAGGGTCTTGGGAACCACCTTTGCTGCGGGGCAGTGCCACACGCCAGGTTGCACACGAACGCTGGTGGGTTTCTGCCAAAACTCCAGGGAGACGGTGCCCACCCAGTGGCTTTGGGGGCGGGGCCTGCGGAAGGCGGGGCTCCGGGGCGGGGCGAACTCAGCGCCTCTAGCAGGCTCGGCTCCGACTGTAGTTTCAAAGACTGGAAGGCGGGCTTCGCGAACTAGCGCCCGAGTGCCAGAGAAGAGCCCGCTTGGCACAGCCATGACCCGGCGGGCAGGGGGCTCTCGGCTGCTCCGCAGTCTCCTCCTCTTCGTGTTGTTCACTGCCGGCGTCGCTCCCTTCAATTGGGATCTCCCGGAGCCCCGCAGCCGAGCCAGCAAGATCCGAGTGCACCCCCGGGGCAACCTCTGGGCGACCGGTAAGTCTTAGGGGACCCCAATAAGTGTGGCTCATTCTCCTCGGTCCCCAGTTTCCTTTCAACTCTCTGGAGGGTCATAGTGGCGAAGTTCCTGCAGACCCCGGGGTGGGGTGGGGGGCTCAAGTTTAACAGGTGGGAATTAACAGGTCAGATCCAGAGTCAGGGGCTTGGCTACGATAATCCACCAAGCAAGTTTAAGGCAGAGCTAGGCCAGCATCTTAGATCTGGTTGCCGTCGTCGGTCCCCCTTCCCTTAGGCAGACTGCCGGGATTTTCTCACTCACGTCTTCTCTGCACATCTGTCTCCGAGACACCATCTCCACTTCCTTCCCTGGCAGGTCTCCCTGGTCCCAGGCTATCTACCCTTCTTCCAATGGTGATGACCTCCAGCAGGTCGGGAAAAGCTGAGGCAGTCAGCTTTGCCTACACCCAGATGTCTGTGGCTTCTTGCTGAGGAGGAAGGTTTTTTTGTCTTCCCTCGGTGAGAGCCGAAAGGTAGAATAGACCAGAACTTGCTTATGGTAATAGGGTCCTCATCCCTTAGCTTGCGTGTGTCTTGGTACCTCCATTTCAGGTCACTTCATGGGCAAGAAGAGTCTGGAGCCCCCAAGTCTGTCGCTGGTGGGGACAGCACCTCCCAACACCCAGAGGGACCAGAGCCTGCAGCTGAGTCATGATCTGCTCAGGATCCTTCTGCTAAAGAAAGCTTTAGGCATGAACCTCAGTGGCCCAGCTTCCCCAATTCAGGTGAGCCCCTGCCCCAGTACCAATATGCAAGAATTGCCACCCAGCTTGGGTTCAGGGTGGGACTGCCTAGCCAGGGCATGATGGATATGGATTCCAGAAAGCCAGGGTCCCAGGCCTCAAAGGGGGAATATCCCAAAGCCCGGAAAATGGTGCGGCAGACTGCATGGGAAAGAAGTTCCTCTTTGCCCAGCCCCAGTCTGAAGTCACAGACTAGGATTATCCCAGCCATACAGCCTTGTCCATCCCTCTTGTCATCCACTGCACTAGCCAAGCCCACCGTTGTGGTTCCAGTCTGTGCTTGTGGTGTGAGCTGTGACCTCGAAGGCCTAGAGGTGGGAAGGGAAGTCACCAATGGAGACAACACAGAAGCTGCTCGCTTTCCATCCTCCTGTCCATCTTCCGATGGCAGGCTTTCATCATATGTCAGTGCTCTTGACAGCATAGGCTCTGCGGGGCTGTCCTGTGCATTTAGGATGCTGATCCCATCCCTGGTTTCTACCTGTCAGATGCCAGTAACACATTCCCTCTCCTCACCAAGTTGTGATAACCAAAATTCCCTCCAGGTCAAGAATAGTGCACTTGCCTGTGGTCCCTGATGCTTTGGAGGTTGAGGCAGGAGGCTGGTTTAAGACCAGGAGTTTGGGAAAAAACAAAAACCAAAAAAGCCTGTAGACATCAAGCTGACGTCCCCTGGGTAGAAGCGGGCTCAAATCACCACTGGTTGTAAAGCACTAACCTGTGGTGGTCAAGCCCTTCGTGCGCTGCCTGGCTGGGTGGCAGCTCCTCCATTCTCTGCTCCTGGCCTGTCCCCATTGCTCACTACTGTCCCTGGTGCTTATTGCTGTGTGCAGAAGGCAGTGTGGTGGGGTGGGATGTGTACTGGGGCCACACCTAGCTACTTAGGAGCTGGTGTCCTTGGAAATGTCACTGAACTGCTGCTCTGAGCCTCATGTTCTTCATGAAATGGAAATAGCAGGCCCACCTTTACGTCACATGCACAGTCTGGTGCTGGGCACGCAGAAAGCCCTTGGTAAGCAGGAGCTCCTCCCACCTGTCTGCAAGCCCCCACAGTACCTGCTGCTGACTCCCTTCAGTGTGCGCATGCCGAAGGGAGAGACAGTCCTTAGAGAAGGTCTACCTGCAGCCCCAGCAACCCTGCCAGGAACCGCAGGTGCAAGAGCAGAGTCCAAAGAGACATAGCGTCACCTCTAGGGGCATTATTGTGAAGGCCCGAAATACCAAGAGCAACCAGAGACTCTCAGAGGAAGCAACACTGCCCTGGCCAGGGGCGGGGAGCATCAGAGAGGTCTGGAGCAGAGCCTGGGGGAGGTAGAGGAGTGTCACTGACGATTATCCAGTGCCGTGGACTTGATTTCTGGGATGTTCTTTAGTTGTCATGACTACCCTGTGAAACTGGTGCTCCATTCTGGGGAAACCATTACTCCTGAGTCCTCTCAGGCCTTTCAGGGGGAAAGGTACTCATTCGGACCCAGCCGAGAGCCTGCCCCTGCCCACCTCTGGGCACAGCCAGCATATCCCACGGCTTGTGGACTCGAGGGTCATCTTCTCTTCTTGCCTTCAGTACAGGAGGCTGCTGCAGCCAGTCCTGAAGAAGTGATGCCAGTAACAGGGCAGACACGGCCCCTTGGCTTGGAATGTGTCCGTCCGGGGAAGCTGCTGAATGGAACCCCAGCCGTGGCCCCATCTGGATGTAAATCCTAAGCTCAAACGCGTTGCTCCATTACTGTGATTTCTGGTTGGGTCACCAGGAATGTTGATGATGCGGACACAGAGTCTTTCCTGCTGTATTTCTTGCTTCCCTGGTGAAGTTGTGAATAAAAATACTGCTCTTTACACAGACTGTCTGGGCCTCTCCTTCCACCCACATTTGAAGAAAAGGGGAAGAGCTCTGGAGAGTGGTATGTTTGTGGAGATGGGGTGGTCTCGGAAAAGCCCCATCACCCCTCACCATGGCTCCAACCAGGCAATGAATGATTGCCATCCCTCAGCCACCATGTACTATGCTGGCTGCACTGGACCTTTGCATTTCTACTACCTAAAGTTTCTTTGCCTGCGATGGGGGGTTGCCTACACTATGCTACACTCACCCCATCTTTCATCCCATGCTTTAGTACGGTGCATACAGGAGAGAACCCCTTCGGAATCCAGCCCCGCTGTGTTCTTACTCTTCTCTGGATGTAGGGACCTCCGTACAGGTTGCCAAAGTTATTGAATAAAAACGAGAGTGTCAGATACTTTATTGATACAGTGTCTTGTGTAAAGTAGACTGGCCTCGAATTTCCTGTGTAGCAGGTGGTGACCTAAAACTTGTGATTCTCCTGCCTCTATCTCCTGAGCACTGGAATCACAGGCGTGCGCCACCATGCCGGGGAGTTGGAGTGATTTACGTGGTTCTGGAAAGCGAACTTGGTGCATGCTAGGCAAGCTGAGCTACCTAGCCCAACAAGATTCCTTTCATTAAAAAAAAAAAATCCGAAAGTATCCTTCACGGACATATTCACGCAAACTTTTAAATGAACTGTTCACCTTAAGTTCCAATTAAGTCTGTATTGTACCTAGCTTTGGGACACTGACAGCTCTTTAGCTACATATACTTGATCCTAAAACACGGGCATATTTGATGTCTGCTCCGGTCAAGCATGCAGCTGATATCGAAGAATCTGTTTTCGCGTCCTTTTTACCCGGAGTCCGCGCACAGAGCCCAGGAAACTTCCGCAGAACTCCGCGCAGCTCCGAGCGCTCCCGACACCGCCAGGCGGGAGACCACGCCCTCCCCTCGCGAGAGCGCGCGCCTGCCCGGGAAGTCTGCCTGGCGGAAGTGGAGTGGCGGAAGCGACAGTTGCCATGGAGCTCGCGGAGGACTGGCTGGTGGAGTCTTTGCGCTTGTAAATCGGGCCGCGGGCTGGTGGGCAGTGGGAGCAGGCGTGGGCAGCAGGGACCCGGGTGTGGGCTCGCGGGCGGTGCCCAGACACGGCCGGGCGGAGGGTCCCGATCCCCCGCCTCTCGGCCCTTTTGTAAGCAAGTAACGTGACCAGATGCTCACTCGTGAAGGCTGGTTATGTTGCACCGGCCTCTAGGTTAACCCGAGCACAGGTTTTCCAATTGATTGTTCATCTCAACTTGGAGAAGTCAACTTTGCGGAACCCTGGGAGTTCCACAGATAAGAACCAAGGATCGGCGCCTGGTCCTGTTCACACAGGGAGTCAAATGCGGAAAAAAGTCCGAGTCCCGTATTTACCTGACTCCAGAGCCTGGATCCACTAATCCTGCAGTGATCTCAGAGTGCTTGGTCAGCTGCACAGTACCGTGCACCATGTGATGTTTATATCCCTGTCCTTGCAGGTACCAAGATTTCCATGCATTTGACCTCTCAGGAGCCACTCGAGTCCTTGAGTGGATTGGTGAAAAAGGTAATATACCTAGCCTGCCACTAAAGGAGACGGATTTCTGCCTCTTGGGCTGAGTTTTAAGGTCTCAGCCTTTAGAGAGACCCATCCAACTTCCATCCCCTGACACAAGGCTGCCCACTAATGAACGGGGAAGAAATTTATCCTTTGGGGGAATTTATAAGTGCAGCCATGATCCACGATGTTTCTAACAGCTTGTCATAGTTACTCTTTTGTTTCAGGAGTCTTTGTTGCTGGTTATGAAAGTCTGAAAAAGAATGAGATTCTTCATTTGATACTACCTCTCAGACTCTCTGTGAAGGAAAACCAGGTAACTTAAATAGAGAAACTGATTACCCACCAGGTACTGTGCCTGACAAGCTCTGGATCTGCCCTTAAAACCGAGCAGAAGGAGGCTCCTGTGCATAGGGATGAATGCTGAGGAAAGTCATGTGGTTCACAAGAGAGCTGCTACAGATAAAGGACACTCTTACTTTATCAAAAATAGATTTAGGGAGCTGGAGAGAGGATTCAGGGGTTGAGAGCACCCGCTGCTCTTCCAGACGACCTGCGTTGACTCCCAGCACCCGCCATGCAACTCACAGCCTTCTGTAACTCTTGACCCAGGGCATCCAGCACCCTCTTCTGGCCTCCAAGGGTACCAGGTGTGCATGTGGTACAGAGACATGCATGCAGGCAAAATACCCATACACATAAAATAAATAATTTTTTAAAATAGATATAGGGGCTTGAGAAGTCGCCCAGTAGTGTAGCACTCACACAGCATGAGCAAGGCCTCTGTTCAATCCTCACAGCGTCACACACGCGCACGAGGGTATAGGAGTTGGTAGAAACCATATAGATGGGAAAGATCACCTAGGATGTAGGTGTGGGATCTGAGGGTTAAGAGAAGACAGCAGGGACAGAACCTTAGGGAATGTATTTAAATGATACAAAGAAAGAATAGTTTCTGAAGTTGGAGGAAGAGAATGTGTGAGTGGTAGCTATGTAAGTATAGTTAGTGGCTACTGCTACTCCTAGCCAGCCAGGGCTACACAGGGAGACCTTCTCAAAACAGAAGAAGGAGGAGGAGGAGGAGGAGGAAGAGGAGGAGGAAAAGGAAAGTTTTTGCCCCATATGAGAGGGACAGGGGACAGGCTAGAAGGAGGCTTGGAGGTAGTCAGGAAGAAAAGGAACCTGGAATGTAGACATTTACAGACATCAGCCTGCCAAGGTCCGGCTGAGGAACTTTCATGGCCTCCTTCCCCAGTGCTCATCTGAAGTGTTCATTTGTAAAGCACGTGCTAGGGCTGGAGAGATGGCTTAGCAGTTAAGAGCACTGGTTGCCCTTCTAAAGGACCCAGGTTCAATTCCCAGAACCCACATGGTAGTCCACAACTGTCTGTAACTCCAGTTCCAGGGGATCTAGCACCCTCGCACAGGCAAAACCCCAATGTACATACAAAAATAAATCTTAAGGAAAAAAAGAAAGAAAAGCAGGTGCTATGCTGAGTGGTGGTGACACACGCCTTTAATCCTAGCACCCCAGAGGCAGAGGCAGGTGGATCTCAGTGAGTTTGAGGCCAGCTTGGTCTACAGAGTTAGTTCTAGGACAGCCAAGGCTACACAGAGAAACCCTGTCTCAACAATACACAACAAAACAGAAAAGAAGAAAGAAGAAAAAATCAGATGCTGTCTGATTTCTCCCCACCCATTTGTATTTTAGGGTTTATTCCCAGAGAGAGATTTCAAAGTGCGCCATGGAGGATTTTCAGACAGATCTGTCTTTGACCTAAAGCACGTGCCAGATACCAGGTATGGCCAGTCTGTGTCTCAGACCTTCCATTCTTTGGGGATGCCGGGAAATGCTCTCGGTGTCCTGTCTTCTTACCACCGTGCCCACGTCTCAGTCTCTAGACATAGGTGGGCGCACATGGGCCTGGGGCACATGTAGATTTAGCATGTGAAGAAACCATTAGCTTAGCAGCCATTTTGACTGGTGGAGCCAACAGGTCTCTGGAGTTGCTCCAGGGGCGAATACAGAGTGGAAAGTACTCTGAAGCTTCTCAGAGCGGTCTCAGTCAAGGGTATGTGTTCAGGCTCCCCACTTGTGTCCTTTCTAGGTGAATCATGACCTGTGGAAGCCTGGGCTCAGTCTGTGGCTCTGAGTTGTGATCCTGTCCCTAAAGCAGGGTGAGCCTGCTCGTCTGTTGAATGAGGGCAGCTGGTTCTAGGGATCTTGAGTGGGCTGGAGGGGAAAGGCTGCCAGGGTGAGGGTGAGCTTCCCTCTGTCTGGACTGATCTTCTGTCTCTCTGGAACAGGTTGCTGGTGACCAGTGGCCTTCCAGGGTGTTCCTTACAGGTGTGGCAAATTGGAGAGGACAGTGGTGAGTGACGTTCACTTGGTGGGAACTGAGGTTTTAGGAAACGACTCATACTCCCGTCCCTTATGCTGAGCCAGTAAAGAAGCACTTAGGGAGGGGACGGGGCAGCACCGTTTCTGTCGGCTTCTGTACCGCAAAGGTGAGTTCGTATCCACAGTGTGGCAGCAGGCCGAAATGCTACAGCTTCTCTGAACTTCCTGCAGGACTTGAGTTTACCAACCCAGCTGCTGGCAGAACACAGCGAGCTGGGGCCTCTCAGCTGGGCAGGGGCAGAGGAAGTGCTGAGCTAGGGCCACCCAGGAGCACTCGGCTCGAGGAAAGAAGAGGAGAAGACTTCGAAGAGGTCCCTCTTTTTACAGTGCGCTAGTTCTGGGGAAGGAGAATACCAAGTGAGCAGGACCGCCCCCCCCCCCCCAGCAGTCTGCCCAGAGGTCACACTACTTCCCAAGGGGCACAGAGAAGGATCAGGAAGTTCCCGTGTGGGGAATAGCACTGGGACTGCAGGTCCCTGTCAGGCAGGTACCAGAGCATGTATCCCTTTAGCCTGATCCAGCCATTCATTCCATCCCCCTGTGGGAGGCCAGCTCCCACTGTTTCCCCAGGGTACTCTTGAGGAGAGAGGGATAAGAAACGTCAGATAGAAATACAGTGTGGAGAGAAACACAGGATAGCTTCGGGAGGGCCTGGATCAACATCCACCGGCCCCTTCGGTCTCTTCTAAAGGGCTTTTTTATAGGAATGCCAAGGGGTGGAGCAAAAGACCTCCCCCCAGCACAGCCAAGTACAGACCCTTCCAGTCACCTGGTAACCACAAATGTGGTCAGTCCATCCCTCTATAAAGTCCTGCTGGGTAAAGCAAGCTCAGATCTCACTAGATCTCTGTGGGCCTCCACACCCCCCTCCAGTGAGAGGCACCTCACAGCAGGAAGTGGGCCACCCCACGCTGTGGCAAAGCTCTCCCACAGTCAGCACAGTGTCCTACTTCTCCCAGGCCCCGCCACACAGGGGCGCTGTTGAGCTCATCCCTCACCTGTGCGCCTCCTGTCTCCTGTCTGGTCCTTCC